CAATCTGGAAACAGAGTGTATGAGATGGCAATGCTCTGATTTCCCTCCTCCTCCCAATCGACATTCGCTCCTCTCTCGAAATCCAGATTTGGAAGGTTTGTGATGAAAATCAGACTCTATGGCAGAAGAGGGATGAGAAGAAAAGGGGAAGTCTGACGAAATCAAAGGCGGGGAAGAAATCGACAGGGTTGAATTGGATGAGGTCACTCTTCCATGAATCCAAGGGAGTAAGAAGAGGGACGCACAATTGATGGGCTGTGGCGTGTCGAGCAGAAGCAGAGTGGACAAAAAGGTGACCCGTGCTAGCGGATTTCGTGGTAAGGTAGGTGAGTGCAGCAGAGATAGAGAGCAAGTGCAGTACAAATCATAGTCGTTGGCGTGTCTGGAAAAGGTTTCGGTGTGTCTCCGAGCAAAAAAAAAAAAAAGTAAGGTGAGGAAATCGGTGAAAGGATGACCGATGACAGGGGCCTGGACCAGCTACATAGCTCGTACGACCGGTAAGGGGAAGCATGGACGCTTCGCTGGAGCAGGAGAGGCAAAGTCGAGTAGCGTTCCCAGCAGAAAGAGGAGCTAGCTGAGATGAGAACCGGAAACAAAAGGAGGGTAAGTGTAAAAGACAGAAAACGAATAAATAAGGCTTAATTGCAAGTTTGGTCACTCGAATTGCTATAAAATTTCACGTTTGCCACTCAAATTAATTTATTCCATTTATAGTCACTCGAATTAGTTGAACAGTTCAAGTTCGGTCACTCTCCGTTAACCTCCGTTAACTTTGACTGACGTGGCGGTCAACTCTGACAGTTGTCCGTTAAATGTGTGACGTGGCAAATAAAAAATAATTAAAAAATAAAAATTAAATTTTTAAAAATTACACATCATTATAAAAAGAAATTATAATTATAAAAATGAAAAAAGAAATTATCACAAAAAAACTACAAACCCACCACCATTACCAAGAACCATCCCCACCGACGATTCCATTTCCCATATCTTCCCCTCTCCCCTGTTTTCCTTTCCCACTAAAGACCAACACCCCAAAATCCCACTTCATTTCCTATCCATTATTATGGGGAACTGTCTGTTCGGAGGTCTAGGAGACGGCGAGGGAGGAGGAGTGATTAGGGTCATAACAGGGGACCGTCATCGGCGCTGTCCTCCGTGAAAGAAGGCCACGTTCGGTCGAAGAGCTCCCCTTCCTCTCTCGCCGGCCTCACGCCTTACCGGATGTCGTTGGACTCCAACTACAAGCAGCAGCAGGGTGCGCTGAAGAGGTCGTATACAGAGGCGTTTTCGCTGACCTCCTCTGTTTCCGGTAGGACCGGCGGCGGCGGAGGGAAGGTTCCAAATCAGGAGGCGGGGTTCTGGAAAGTGAAGCTGGTGATTAGCCCGGACCAGCTGCTGCAGATTCTGTCTTAGGAGGTTTCTACTCACGATTTTGTGGGTTTGTGGAATCGTCGCCGCTTTTCCCGCGAAAATCTCTCCGACCACATCGCCGCCGCTGTTCCATGCACCGATTCCAGGGCTCTCGACCACGCTATCAAATCCCTCGACCGCCAGATCTCTCAGTACGTCATCGCTGACCAGCCCATCTGGTCCGACTCCGCCGACTTCCTCGACACAATTGACGAGCTCACCGCCACGATTCGTGATTGAGAGATGAAGACGAGGAAGAGGAAGACGAGGATAGGAGTGGACTGAACCCTAGTAACCTTCTTGATGTGCTGGTAAGAGAAATCATCCATTTCCTGAGAGTATATTTTACCCCCCTAACTTTGGCCTTCTTAACAGATGAGACTGCACATGACATCATTGTCCTTACAACAATGCTTTTTTCAGGATCTTGGAGCCATTGCCAGCCCAATGTTCAAAGGCTAAGTACCAAATATGATCAAAAGCAAATTCTCCCCTGCATTCCCACTAAAACCTCAGCAGAAGGACATGAGGTTGGTTGTTGCACTTGGAGATGAAAATGTTGTTTCAATGCCTGTAGCTTCTTGCAGCAAATGAGGTGAAACCTGAAAATCCCCTTATATCTCTCTTCCTCCACATCCTCTCTCGACTTCCTTTTCCTCCTGTAACCATTGATGTAAATCCAGTTCGAAATGAGTAATAAGATAAGATCACAAATATAGTAGAACTCTCCTTGTCGATATCTATAGAGCTAAGGGGAAGTTTTGGAGCTTAGTAGCATAATGGAATCAGTTTACCGGGCTGACTTTTATGCCAACACGAGGAGTTTAACTCATCACTACCTCGTAAGGGCATTGAGAATATTTTTTTCCTATAAACTTTTAGAAAAGTCTTCAAATAGCCTTTGCATAGTTTACGAATTCTGCTTAGTAGGGACCTAAACACAGGAATGGTTTTTATCATAGTCAGACCACGCCTTATGACGGGAGAAAGGACGGATCACTTGTCGATCTGTGATCGACGAAAACGAATCTAATGGAATGGGATAGAGATTAACAAGCACAAAAGCTATATCTCATATCTATTAATTAATCTACGCTCATTGATGAGACGGCGACAGAGAGAGAAGAAAGTATACCCTTTGACACCCCCTCTCACTTAAAAGTAAAGAAGAGATACAAAGGAATAAATATTTAGTGGGAAGTTTCTCGTCAACTCATGCACATGCTTATTTGAGTAGTTTCTATTGACAAGAAATGCAAGCTTTCAAGAAGGCTAGAAGCATTGGATTGGGTGATCACGATTTTTTAGTTATTCATGAGGTGGTGAAGCTGCATAGAGACTAAAAGCTTCTTTAGTATGATTTCGAGCTCTAGAACCCTTTGTAGGTTTAGTGAATTTGGAATAGAAAACGACACATTCCACATATTACAAACCAATGGATACATAAGAGCACTTCATCTTCGTGCCCATATGTTCTGAAGCCTGCTTGTGATTTAGATAAGATACATAAAGCATGAGTCCTAGTGATATTTCTTCTCTATCACTTAATACCTGTTAGAGAGTGGTATAAGATCAAACATAATCTTCTTCCAATAACTTGAGTTATTGAGAGCAACTGGTTTATGACATGGTATCAGAGTTGGTTTGACCAAGTTGTTGTGTGTTCAAATTTCCACGACCCCAATATTAACAGTTGATTAAAGCACAAGGTATAGTGATCGTATGTGCAAACTTCAAGTCTAGAGAATGGTATAAGATCTAGCATAATCTTCGTCTGACAACTCGAGTTATAAGATCACCTAGTACCCATATAGTTATAAGATCACTTAGTACCCATATTTCGTATACACCTGAAATTCCGAGCGGATTATCGAAACTTTCGAAAGTGAAAACAGAAACAAGGGTTCGAAATGGAAAAATAAATTCTTTTTAACCAAACTGTCGTCAGATCACCGATCAAATCAGAGTTATCGTTCAGGGAGAAGGCAGGGGATGTCGAAACAGAGACTTACAAAACGGATCGAAGTCAAGCGTAACAGAGCCACCTTCTTCGACATTCCCTTCCAAAACTGCATCTGCCAGTTGATCTTCCACCAGCCGCAAGAAGGCCCACCTCAGATGCTTCGCTCCGTGGACCGGATGGTACCCTGCATCGGCCACCCTGTTCTTCAACTCATACTTCACCCTCACTTCAATCCCCTTCTGCTTAAAACGCCCCACCAGTCCCTACGCCATAAGCTCAACCATCTTCATCAAATGCTCCTTCTTTAGCTCCCTAAAGAGCACGACCTCGTCGACTCGGTACAGCAGTTCCCCCCCAAAAACACCACTAAGCAGCCCGGAAATCATCACCCTCATATCGCAGTCAGGAATAGCGCCAATTTGATGCGGGTGTGTAGGGTACCTAATATTTGAAGTCATTATTGTTAGTGTTGTGGTATATGATCCACGATTGAACCTCTCCCAACAACTCGAGATATTGGGAGCAACTAGTTCTTGACATGGTATCAGAGCCTTCTGTGACCGAGAGGTCTTGTGTTCGATTCCCGGTGACCGCATTTGTTAAGCACATGGTATTCTTGTCTTCAGACCTGGGCAAACTTCAAGCCCTTGTGAGCGGCTTTCGTTTGAGGGGGCGTGTTAGTTTTGTGGTATATGATCCACGATTGAACCTCTCCCAACAACTCGAGTTATTCGGAGCAACCGGTTGTTGACAATTATGATGATTGCTTTTCTGAAGTCAGCTCTGGCTCGTCCCAAGGAAATTAATTCCCCGCTGTCGATGATTTGCAGAAGGGCATTGGCGACATCGGGACCGACCTTTTCAATCTCGCGGAGGAGGATTACGGAGTTGGGCTTGCGTGTGACGGAACCGATCAAGAGGGAGAGGAAGTCTTTCCGCGTGTAGTCTCTCGTCTAGATTCGAATCAGGGATTCCTCGGATCCGTAAACTTCAATTGCTAAAGCTTTGTCCGTCTCCGGTCCCGTACGCCGGAATGGGCACGCCGGACTGCTCGGCTGACTGCCTGGACTGCTTCGACTTGTTCGATGATGTGGGGCTTGAGCCTCTCCGTCAAGTGCCGGAGGTATTCATCGGAGGTGAGGCTTTGCGGCGGAAATCCTGTTCACATACCCGAACGATGTAGTTAATTATCAGATGAGAAAACACAATTCGAGGTGGAAAACAGAGCCATGTATATTTGTACAATACCCTGAAAGAAAACACTGCAGTGGTTGCACTGGTAGACAGACGTAATAGAGGATACAACAGGATCGACTGCAGGAGCTGAGACTTGAAGAAGAAGAAAGAAGGAGTGTCCTGCAGTCGATGAAGAAGGAAGTTGAGCATTGGTTTGACGAAACGGCAACGTTCTGCCTCAATCCAGAAACGCAGCGATAGTAGCAGAACGGGGTCGTTTCCTTTAGTCAGTGGTTGTTTGCTTAAGTCTTCGGGTTAGACAAGTGGCAAACGTTTAGTGGCTAGATTTGTATTATGGTTTATAATTACTGTAGATTAGCCGTTAGTTCCTTGTACAGCGTTTAAACATTCAGTATATAATGGAAAAATGCAGAAAAGAAGATCTCAGATTCTTGAGCTCTCTTCACCAAAACCCTAAGTTTTCAGTTTCTTCTCATGGTATCATAGCCTGGTTGGCTCTAGGCTCTAGATCCAACCATTTTTTTTTTCGTTTCCCCTTTCGCAAATTTCAAGTTTCCACGATGTCTGGTGCTGATGAATTTGTTGCTGATGAAGTCGCTGCAACAAACGATGAAGTTCTTTCTGCAAATGATGAAACCCTACCTCGGACGCCGCCGCCGAGAAATCAACGCGTGAATGCTTTTGTTCCGCCGATCATTCCTCATTATGACGACCCTTACCTTAATCCTTACTATCTTCCTGCTCACGATGGTGCTCTGACCACCATCATCTCAATGAAACTCACGGATCAAAATTACAACCTCTGGAGTCAGGTAATGGAACTAGCTCTCAGTACTAAGAACAAGCTGCAATTTGTGAATGGGTCTATACCAGTTCCAGATCCAGGGGATCCCATATGGCAGTCTTGGCATCGATGTGATAGCACTGTTAGGTGCTGGATTTATAACTCTCTTTCTGAGGATATTGCACATAGTGTAGTTCCATATAGAATTGCTAAGGATGTTTGGGACAATCTTAAGGATCGTTTTAGTCAAGCTGACTACATCAGGGTGTATGAATTGAAGGAGCAGATAGGAAAATTGGTTCAAGGAGATCAGACAGTGACACAATATTACACTGCACTCACTACCAAATGGCAAGAGTACAAAATGTATCGGCCTGTTACTTGTTGTCCTTGTGCAAATAGTCCTTTCTTTACCATTCAGCGCTATGAAGAGCAAGATTTCATTATCAAATTTATGCAAGGTCTCAATAATGTCTATCAAACAGCTCGTACCCAAGTGCTAATGAACTCTCAGCTGCCCAGCATTGAGTCAGTCTTCAAACAAATGATTCAGTTAGAGAGACAGATGAAGGGGGTCGGAGCTGGTAAAGGACGAGTTGAATCCTTGGCTCTTCTTGCTGCTGGCCAACAAAGACCTGGACAGCAAGGATCATGTGGGCACCAAGGTCAGCAAAGAGCTGGACAACAAGGTCAGCCTAGTAAGAACCCCAGAGACTACACTCCTGAAGGGAAGAAGTGGTGTAGGTTTTGCAAGAAGGAATTTCACACAATTCAAGAGTGTTTCAAACTGAAGAACAAGCAGAACAGAGAAGGGGGAGGTGCTTCTTTTGCTGGTTCAGTGGACTCAAATATGACTGATGGAGGAAGTTCCATTTCATCAGGTCATGGTAGGACTGATTCAGACTTGTCTCTAACAAGTCTGTTAACTGCTTCACAGTTTGAGAAGCTGAAGCTTATGTTGGGAAGTGGTTCACCCTTTCCTTCACCTTCTCCACCAACATCTCCTCATATGCAGCATTCAGCAGCTATGACTGCAAGAGGGGGTCCTTCTGTCAATGCTGTCCATTGATCAAATGCACCATCCCATTTCTCTGCAGCTACCTCAGGTAAGGTTGTCTGTTCCAGTGTTCTTAATCCCACAGTTTGGATTCTTGATACTGGAGCCACAGATCACATAATCTGTGACATCAATTCCTTCCTGAAATGCAAACCAATAGAGCATATACATGTGAATTTGCCAAATGGTCAGCAGGTATCTGCAACTCATATTGGAATTGTCACCTTGCCTTGTGATTGTTTCTCACTCAAGTCCTCTTTGTTCCTAGCTTTACTTACAACTTGGTTTCTGTTAGTAGATTGACCCAAAATCATCCAGTCTCCTTATTTTTTAAATCCAATTTTTGTGTCATTCAGGACCTTATTACTCGGAGGAGGATTGGTTTAGCCCAAGTGGATAGAGGTCTTTACCTGTTTTCAGAGTCCAAGGGTCAAGTGTTTGATGATACTAAGGATTTCCCCAGTATAGCAACAAGAGCTTTCAACTTTCAGAGCCAAGATTTCAATATCTGGCATGCCAGATTAGGCCATCCTTCTTTGTCTAGATTGAGAGAAGTTAAGAATCATTGTTCTGATGTAACTCTTCCTTCCATTAAACACTGTGATGTTTGTCATTTGTCTAAAAAAAAGAGGTTGCCATTTCCTGTAAGCACCTCAACCAGTGCACACATTTTCTCTCTTGTTCATGTGGATATTTGGGGGCCACTCAATACAGTTTCTGTTGATGGTTTCTCTTATTTCCTTACTGTAGTAGATGATTACAGTAGGGCTGTATGGGTTTTTCTTCTTAAATCCAAGGGTGAAGCAAGGTCCACCTTGCAGTCTTTTTGCCAAATGGTACAAACTCAATTTTCTGTACCTGTTAAAACCATCAGATCAGACCAAGGGGCTGAGTTCCATATGTCTGATTTTTACTCAACATATGGGATAGTTCATGAAATGAGTTGTGCTTATACAACACAACAGAATGGCCGAGTGGAGAGAAAACACCAACATCTTCTCAACGTTGCTAGGTCCCTAAGGTTCCAGTCTGGTCTTTCCCTTTCTTACTGGAGTTACTTTGTTCTTCATGCAGCTTATCTCATTAATAGAACCCCTACCCCTCTTTTGAATCACAAAACTCCTTTTGAGTTGCTGCATAAGGTTCCTCCAGATTTTATGAGTTTGAGAGTGTTTGGATGCCTTGCTTATGCCACTGTGGTAGAAGGGCATAAACACAAGTTTGATCCAAGAGCTAGAAAATGTGTGTTTCTAGGTATTCCAGTTGGAATCAAAGGGTACAGGTTATTAGACTTAGACACCAAGAGGGTCTTTGTCGGTCGAGATGTTGTTTTTCATGAACACATCCTCCCCTTTTCCAAAGCTGCTTCCACAGAAGGACATCAATTTGATCCTCCTTCTGCTCCTTTGTCTTCTTCCAGTTCAGAGGTTCCTACTTGTCCAGGTCCTCTTCCTATCTTTGAACCTGATGCAGTGGTTTATTCTTCTCCTCCCACTGCACCCTCCACACCTTCCTCACCTACCCCACCTGTTACACCTACTGCTGTCATTGAGTCAAGTAGTATTTCCACTACTGCTCCTTCCTCCTCCAATTCCCCTCTTCCTTCACCACCCTCTTCTCCTCCAAATGTCCTTCCTCGTAAATCCACAAGGCAAAGTGTTTTTCCTGCCAAGTATAATGATTTTTATGTTGGTTCTGCTCAAGTCAGCTGCTCTCCCAGTGCTCTCCCTCAGGATCTTACTTTCCTTACTCCTGCTCAACAACATTATGCTTTTCTCCTTGAGAAGTTAGTTGAGCCACGTTGTTATGCTGAGGCAGCCAAGGATCCAAGGTGGAATGCTGCCATGATGGAAGAACTATCAGCTCTTTATGCCAACCAAACCTGGGAGATCACTGACTTGCCAGAGGGGATCAAGCCTGTTGGTAATAAATGGGTTTATAAAGTAAAACTTATTCCAGATGGAACACTTGAAAGGTTTAAAGCAAGGTTAGTAGCAAAAGGGTACACACAGATTTATGGAATAGACTACCGTGATACCTTTTCACCAGTAGCTAAATTGAATTCAGTAAAGATGTTGCTTGTAGTTGCTTCTACACAGAACTGGCATTTACATCAGATGGATGTAAATAATGCTTTTTTGAATGGAGATTTGGATGAGGATGTTTACATGGAACTACCAGAAGGATTAAGGGATAAGCCAGAGTACAAAGGCAAGGTTTGCAAACTGAAAAAGTCCCTCTATGGACTTAAGCAAGCTAGCAGAATGTGGTATGCTAAGCTCACTGAGTCCTTATTGGGAAATGGTTTTACACAGTCTAAATCAGACTATTCAATCTTCCTTACAAAGGTGGATGGAGTCTTGGTAGTTGTGATTGTTTATGTGGATGATATTGTGATATGGAGTGCAAGTCTTGAGGCAGTTAACACAGTCAAGCAAATGTTGAAGTCTCTGTTCAAAATGAAGGATCTAGATAATATGCAGTATTTTCTAGGTCTGGAAGTTAATAGATCAGAGGCTGGAATCCATGTTTCACAGAGGAAGTACTGTCTTGAGCTTCTAAAGGAAGCAGGCTTTGATGAATGTAAAGCAGCAAAAACTCTATCGAGTATTAAGCAGGTGCTTTCAGCTAGTGATGGTGATCCTTATCTAGATGTTAGCAATTACAAGCACTTGCTGGGACAATTACAGTACCTTAATAGCACAAGACCTGATATTACTTTTGCAGTCCAACAGTTGTGCCAATTTCAAGATGCCCCTACCACAGTCCACTTTAAGGCATTGCAGAGGGTATTTCGATACCTAAAGGGGTCTCCTGGGTAGGGTATATTTTACTCTAAGGATTCTTCAATGCAGTTAACTGGGTATAGTGACTCAGATTGGGCAACTTGTCCAGATACTCGAAGGTCTTTGACAGGTTTTTGTGTGTTCCTAGGGACAGGTTTGGTCAGTTGGAAAGCAAAGAAGCAAAGTACAGTTTCAAGGTCTTCCTCTGAAGCTGAGTATAGAGCACTTGCTCTGCTGAGTTGTGAGATTCAATGGCTGGTTCGATTGCTGTCTGATTTTGGCATAGAACATTCACAACCTGCATTGGTATTCTGTGACAGCCAATCAGCCATTCATATTGCCAAGAATCCAGTGTTTCATGAGCGCACGAAACACATAGAAGTAGACTGTCAGGTGATAAGGGAAAGGCTGCAAAGTGGATTGATCAATCTGTTTCATGTTTCCACAGTGCACCAACTTGCAGACTTGTTCACGAAGATTTTGACGTTTACAGTTTGGGCAGCGGGAGAAAGCACTAGGGCTTTTCGTTGTCGCCATGGATTAGAATTTCCTGGAACTAGCAACTTTGAAGTTACAACGTAAAAAAGCTTTTGTTTATTTTTTTGCTTTCTCCGGTACTATTTATAAGGAGCACTTCTGCTAGGGATGAGAAGAGATCCCCTGGTGTTTCCCACGCCATTAGAAAAAGCTTCAAATTATGCTACCATCGTAAATGCAGTGACTGGGTAAGCGAAACTCCACGAATGGGCAATTCCCATCCTCTCACGAGTTGACGTTAAAAACGATTGGAGTCCCCGGAGACATCATCGGAAACAGCTCCATAATTCAATTTACAAGAGTCATTTGCTGGTGCAACGCTAGGCTCTCCCACCATCTGCTGCGTGCGTGCAACTTTATCAACGAAATGACCAACTGGGACAAAAACGGGTTTAATATCCATTATTTTTTTTTATAGTGGTGAAATTGTATTAAAATAAAACAACAAGAGAAAACAGTACAACAATGGCTGTGGTTCACAAGAATTGAACCAAAAAGCCAATAGTCGAGCGAGCACTGCAAAAAGGAAACAAACAGGAGAAACTCGGAACGGCAACCGAACAAAACCCAAATCAGTGGGCCGAACCACTTCTTTTGGGGCAGACAGCACACAAGAAACAGGGGAACAGAAAGTCCCAAAGGGAGCAAACAACAAAGAACAACAGGCACTCACAACACCTGAGAATCAGATTCCTCTCGAACCAAAAGACCAAACATGGCTGCCGAAGGGAGCAAACACCTACGATCCAACAATAACACTGAAACCAAACCCGAACTGAGTTACAGAGCCCTCTCGAACCAAATGCCAACCGCGCCGACAAGGACGACCCACCGAGCGTCCAACTAACCGACGAGCAACACATCTTTCAGCCAGGTCTCGCCAAGCGTTTTATCCACTTTTCCATGCGCTACCAACCATTCCATCGAGCACCTTGCCGCTTTCTTTGCAACCACGAAAGCAGTTGATGCTTTCTCTTAAAAAATACGATGATTCCTTTCTAACCAAACGCCCCATCACACAGCGTGAAGAATACAAACAGAGAACCATTAATCAATATTCTCTGGCATGGACAAAGAAATAGATTTAACAATGGAAGTGATATCCCTCTCCCTGGAGCACAATTCTGGCATGTTTCTGCAAATAAGCCTCCAAACCTCTTTCACAAAGTCACAATCCACCAATAGATGAAACACAAATTCATCCTCCCGACAGCACAGGTTGCACCTGTTCACCATCGTCCATCCACGCTTCATCAAGTTGTCAATAGTGAGGATCCTGTTAGGAAGAACAAGCCACAGGAAAAAACACACTTTCTCGTGAATAAACGGCTTCCATATCTGTTTGGCCGGGAAATCTTGTATGTCGGCGAACATATCCTTCACCATATTCCTGTAGAAAGAGCTCACTGAAAACTTGCAATTTTGGTCAGGATTCCACATAATTATACAAGGGCTATAATTACGTTTAAAACTCTTAAGATTTCTGAGGAAATTCATCAACTGCTCTCTCTCTCTCTCTCTCAGCCCCCCTCTCAATAAAAATTTAAGGTTAACAGACCAACTCACCATCCCACCTGAAAAGGAAGCCACGTGGGAGAGTCTCGCATCGGGGTCGGCGGCAGCGGCGGCGACACGAGGAAAAGAAGTGGCCAACATCGTCTCAAGGGACCAAACGTCGTGCCAGAAAGATGTTGAGGTACCATTCCCAGGATCCATAGAAGCAAACTTCCAGAACTGGTCAAACACCTTCAGGATATTTGCCCAGACTGAGTGTGAGAATCGTCCACGAGCACGATCAGTCTGCCAATCAGAATGGGAGTTTGGATACTTGATTTCAATCAATTCCCTCCACCAGCTATTTCTTTCCACTGCGAATCTCCACAACCATTTAGCTAGCATTGCGTCGTTGAAAGCTCTGAGATCATGAATACCCAGCCCCCCATCTTTTATTTCGGCTTTGCACATTTTCCACTCTACCAAAGCCATCCTGTTCTTGTCTACTGCCCCATTCCAAAGAAATATCCTCCGGATTTTCTCCAAGTCATTGATAACCGAGACTGGTGCTTTAAAGAGCGAGAAAAGGTAAGTGGGCATGCTCGAGAGGACCGCCTTGCACAAAACAAGCTTTGCCCCCGCAGAGAGCTGTCTGCTACTCCAACCATTTAGTTTATTCTGTAATTTATCAATCGTCGGATCCCACATTGCAGCTTCGTTCAGTTTACTACCTAGAGGGAAACCAAGATATCTGGGATGATCATTACTCCACTTACAACCACAGATGCTTGCAAAGAAATTAGGTTCAGCTACGTCCCCCACAGTGTACATAACATATTTCTCAAGGTTGATTCTCAGACCCGTCACCGATTGGATGCACACTATTATAGCAAGCACATTCAGCACTTGTTCATACTATGCATCACAGAAAATGAGCGTATCATCAGCAAACAACAAGTGAGTAACCTCCCCTTTCTTTGCTACTTCATCCATCTAGAAACCTTCAAATTTACCTTCGTTACTGACCGACTTTAGCATCCAAGACAACACATCCATAATAAGAACAAACAAACCAGGGGAGAGGGGGTCTCCTTGACGTAATCCCTTCGAAGCCTTGAAAAAGCCTATAGCTTCCCCATTGACTAGAATATATATCATCGAAGAACACATAATGCCTTTACCCCATCTTGACCATTTCTCAGGAAAGCCCAAAATCGAGAGAATTCTAAAGAGGCATTCCCAGTTCACATTATCGAACGCTTTCTCAATATCAAGTTTGAACATGAGACCGGGTTTACTACTCCTCCGCCTACTGTCCACGAGTTCATTTGCTATGAGCCCTGCTTCCGAGATCTGTCTATCCTTCACGGAAGAAAACAGCTGATTTGAGACTAGCTTCGCCAAGACCTGGCTTAATATTCTTGATAATACCTTATGAATCAGCTTATTGATGCTCCCAATCAGATTGATCAGCCTAAGATCCTTGATATCCTCAATTGTGTCTTTCTTGGGGGCCAAACAGACAAAAGAGTGAGTGACACAATTAGGCAGAAAATCCGAGGCAAAGAAATCTTGGAAGGCCTTAAGAATATCGTCTTTCAGCCAATGCCAACACTTCTTGAAAAACTCAATAGTGAACCCGTCAGGTCCAGGGGCTTTACTCCCATCACTGTCTCTCAGGATAAGCAAAATTTCCTGCTCCGAAAATGTTTGGACCAGCATCCCATGATCACCCTCGCTAATGAAAAAGTTCGCCATTCTACTAGGAACGGGGCGAGAATAGTTAGTTTCGCAAAATAGCCCGTTGTAGAAATTCACAATGCCTACCCCTATCTCCTCCTTGTCTTCCACCATCTTCCCATTTATCCTAATTCTAATGATAAAATTTAGTTTCCTTCTGAAATTTGCAGCTTTGTGAAAGTATCATGTATTCCTTTTCCCCAATTTGATCCAGCCTTCTCTAGATTTCTGTCTCTAGCAAATCTCTTGGAGGTAAAGAGCCCTACTGATTTCCAAGGCCAAACGAGTTCTACTGGATTTCTCGTCCTCTGAAAGAGTGCGTTCTTCTTCCGCCACATCCAGGACCATTATTTTGTCCGACAACTCATCAACCTTGGTATCAATATTCCCAAACACTTCCTTGTTCCAAACCTTGACTCTTGACTTCACAAGTAACAATTTCCAAGCTAGCAGAAAAACACCCCCCGATCCCCTGACATCCTCAATCATCCATTGTTATATCTCCGGCAACCATTACAAAAGTATTGGGCAATAACAAGGGGCGAGTCTTAGACCTAGAAATCGGGCCAAGTTGGGTAATGTTGGGTTGGGAACTTTGGTTACGGGTCGGGTCATGTTTGGTTGGCTTATTTCGGGTCAAATATTGACCCAACCCATTCGCTTTCTGGTCGGTTTACATGTCATTTCGGGTTATAGCGCTCTCGGAAACAATATTAAACATGCTTCATATTTTCTTAAAGAACCAAATATTCAATTATGCATGATAATAGTTTACCTAACACATGTCAATTAACATATTCTCAAATCCTCCCACGCTAATGAAATGAAATATAAATTGCGCAAATCGTCAAAAAACAATCACAAGAGTAATACTACTACAAGAAACACATGATATTTGATTATCCTTAAACTCCAAACATGTCATTTAAATCCTTGTGATTTTTTTTTAAACATCTCACCAATTTATGAGTGATTTTATCATATTTTGGGAGTAATATATTAAATGGAATGAGTCTAAAGGGCCGACCTACTAACCAACCCAACCTGACCCAAAAAATCACGGGTTATCAGGTTTGGGTCTTTCGGATTTTGGGTTACAAAGTTTTCTAGTTTTCGGGCGATTTCGGGCCGGGTCAACGGGTCGGGTTGTAATTTGCCAGGTCTAGGGAGTCTCCCCCAATGAGAAAGAAAGGAAAAAAATTTGAGAAGGAAAAGTTTAGATTGATAATCTATCAATACCATAATAAATGATTTGAACCAGCCAGTTGGCCAGATTACTTCAATTTACTAATTATACAATGGGTGAGAGAGCTAGAGCAGAAAAACATTTATTTGGGTCGAACCCACTATTTGAATCTATTTGAGTCCATATAATTATACCTATAAAGAAATATCGACCATCTAACTATTCGTATTAAACCAATTCACACATTCATTATCAGTGTTTCCACATTTATGTTTGTTATACAAAAAAAAAATGCAAAAATTACATTGAGTTGATATTTTTTTATAGCCAATGTAATAGGTCTAATTTAGACTCAAACTAAATAGTTGTTTATTGGTATGACCTTCAAGTGATATTACCAAATATGATTTGACGGGTATTAAATTGGGTTTGGGGAAGATGTTTTGTTTTTTTGCAATTCATAGTGGAGGGAGTTTTTTAGGCCACGTTTGGCATTAGTTATTCATTCACCACAACATCCAACGCTAAGGTATCACTTTCCCATAAGACTTTTTAATTTACTGCGAAATGAGATGATCTAAATTCCTTCAGTTTGTGGTTTCAAAATAGTAAATTTGAAATCACTTATTTACATAGTTCCATC